TTGAGGTCTTCCAAATCCATTCCTCATGTGCAGGTGTGAAACATTTACCAGGGCCCATACCATAAGCCTTCTACACTTTCAAACCTCCGGACTTGAAGCTAAAAAAATTTCGAGACAGGATCCCAGACATTGTGTGCTTCGTGGTCTGGCCTGACTCTTGACTCTTAACAATGTTATTGATGCCTGACACCCTTCAACCGGCCATTGGATATCACTAGCACTTTTACTGTCGTGGCCTTCATTTATGTTACAACACACGTGGCTCTGCACTGTGGCAGTTCTTCTGTCAAAGAGGTACTTTCCAGCCTGTGGATCACTGAAATCATATCTGACGATCTTAATGCCTGTGCACTCTCTAAGGCTGGCAAGTGAGTGGATGAGATGAGAACAAAGGTAACATCCGGTATTGTCGAGCTTTTCTTTCCAAAAAGTTACAATTGAGCAAAACATCGAAGCCATTCTTATCATTGGAGTGTGCACATCTATAAATAGAGATTGAAATCCCTTGCGCAGTGGTAAGAAATAATAAATAACAACAATAAATATAAATAAATATGATAATAATAATAANTTCTTATCATTGAAGTGTGCACATCTATAAATAGAGATTCAAATCCCTTGCGCAGTGGTAATAAATAGTAAATAACAACAATAAATATAAATAAATATGATAAATAATGATAATAACAACAACAAACTATTAATTATCACTTGGTGATATTATTTGCTGCTGATCAAGGTCTTTGGTTCTTGTTCCCATGCTTTCAAAATTATATGCACAATGTTTATCTTTATATCAATTAAGATTTACTTGCCTGCCTGATGCAGCAAAGTAAAAAAAATCATAGATGTTTATTAACTCGATTCGCATGAAATGAATATTCACTGGGTGAGCTCAAGAGTTAATATATGAGAGCAAACAATAATGTCAGCAAAGAATACTTCTCAGGATTGATGAGTTTGTATGCTGAGTGTAACGTAAGAGTTGACAACAATTAATTGCAACATCAAGCATGTGACCTGCCCGTGATGATTGAGCAGGGTTTCAAAGGTGATCTAAAAAGTGAGATTTGCCCAGAAAAACTCTCATCTAACTAGTCAATGTTTTAGAATTCAAATATCATGGCCCTTTATTCCCATATTTAAATTGTACAAATAGAATTGAGGTGTTTTGCACTGTTATTTTAACCCAAAAATGTACAAGCTAACTAGCACCCCCACCGTGGTAGAACAGGGAAATGGATGGAACCCTCCTGAGTTTGCGCTCTGTTTAGGCACAGTGAAATAAATTTACATTGATTAGATAGCCCTGAGCTTGTTCTACAAAATGATACCATATTTGTTGGTTGTGATGTCATATGATGCCAAATGACGTCATTTGANTTCAGTGACAATTAACCAATCAGAGCGCGCGTTATATCGGCCACAAGCCAAAGCCATATAATAATAAATAATAATAACAACAGCAACAAACTATTAATTATCACTTAGTGATATTATTTGCTGCGGATCAAGGTCTTTGGTTCTTGTTCCCATGCTTTCAAAATTATATGCACAATGTTTATCTTTATACTAATTAAGATTTACTTGCCTGCCTGATGCAGCAAAGTAAAATCATAGATGTTTTTTAACTCGATTCGCATAAAATTGATATTCATTGGGTGAGCTCAAGAGTTAATATATGAGGGCAAAAAATAATGTCAGCGAAGAATAAATCTCAGGATTGATGAGTTTGTATGTCAAGTGTAAAGTAAGAGTTGACAATAATCAGTTGCAATTGCAACATCAAGCATGTTCTCGCCCGTGATGATCGAGCAGGGTTTCGAGGGTAATCTAAAAGGTGAGATTTGCCCAGAAAAACTCATATCTAACTAGTCAATGTTTTAGAATTTAAACATCACGGCCCTTTATTCCCATATTTAAATCGTGCAAATAGAATTTAGGTGTTTTGCACTGTTATTTTAACCCTCGGAGTACGAGCTAACTAGTACCCCCACCGTGGTATAAGGGGGAAATGGATGGAACCCTCTTGGGTTTGCGCTCTGTTTAGGCACAGCGAAATAAATTTACATTGATTAGATAGCCCTGAGTTTGTTCTACAAAATTATACCATATTTGTTGCTTGTGACGTCATATGATGCCAAATGCTGCCATCGTGAATCCGCCACCTTGAATTTTGCTTTTTTTCTTAAAAAGTCAAGAAATAATGAAAATTGATAAAAAATCAAACCAGAATGCTTGTGAACAATACAAATTGGTGAATTTCTGGAATTTGACGAAGAAAACTGGAAAAAAAATACAAAATTATGTCAAAAAAGGTTGATATTTGGCCAAACCTACGTGAAACTTGTGGTTGCTATGGAAACATAAAAAATGATGGACACACAATTGACATATCAAAATATCCGCCAAGGATGAATGAACAGCTAATGACAGTTTCAGCCCCTTAGAGTAAATCCTCTTTTCAAACTTTTGAAATTACCTTATTGGGAGGATGGCATAATTTGCCTTATAGCTAAATGTTGCATGACATGGATAGCAAATGACATTTCCACCCCCGCCCTTGTACGTCCGACGGTTAAGGGAAATTGCAAAGAGTTTTGCATTCAGTGAGCTTCCACTGCCCTAAATAATATTCAAAGACTTTTTTAATGACATTAACATACAAATAACTTTGATAAACTGATTCTATAATATCCAAATTTTTTAGATTTCGCCCTTGTCTCTTTGTTAAAACTAGCCTCTAGTCACGTTGTTTGAACAGCTTTTGTTGCCAAAAAATAACAGATGCCAAAAAGTTTATTCTTGATTTCATCAGGCCAAGGGTGACTCTAAACTGTGATGAAATTAGTTTTGATTTAGAAAGAAGGATTTAAGCAATATTTGAGTCAGAATTTGAGCTCATTTGCCTCATAGCTAAATGTTGCATGACATGGATAGCAAATGGCATTCCTTGATTGGCACCTGTCACTTCAAATGACTTGAAATTCCTGGTGTAAACTAATATAGGACCAATCTTTATTTTTGTGAACTACCAATAAAATTCAATGTATTCTGTAAGCAGGCGCGGTGTTTAAATTTGATGATTATTTTAGTGACATTTTTGGGATTTTGGGCAAAAAAAACCAGGGGGGGTCGTCTAACTACTAAGGAAAAATCACAAAACCGGCCCACTTTGTCTTTTAGAGTTGTTGGGTAGTACCTTCATTCTGGCAAAGTTTCATCCAAAAAAGAGAGATGGCATGCATCACCCCTGCCTGGTCCTCTGGTAAACTCGGGCTTAATTTTACAACACCATAAAAATATTGTTTAGTTTAACTGCGTCTTTGCAGCCCCGCATAATTTGAGAGTAAACTGGTGTTACCAAAAAATTAACCTGCCCACAAAACCGCTCTATCCAGAGTGCAGTCAAGCGCACTAACCAATATGTAAAACAAAAGAGGTCCCATTTAATTCGTTTTCCTGAAACATACAACCATCGTTTATCCCAAAGGTGAGAGTTGTTCTCGTAATTAAATCTCGAACGTACAGCTTACTGTTTTAATTGAGTATTGCCTGATACT